TTTGCAAACTGGACAAGTAAACGGAAGAAAATCTGAAACAGTAGAAACTTGCAAAGAATGCAAAATGAAAAGGAAAGCGCCTACCTAGCCTATTGCAGCTTTTACTTAGGCGCATTTCAGCGGTATATTTGAGTTAGGAGGGAGTGAGCATATGCAGAAAATTTAACATGTTGACGACTTTGCATCGTCAAAGGTGCACTCGGTCTTATGCTTTATTACCACGTAAGGCGTTACACCGTCGTCGTTTAGATGAGTAGCGAAAATTTCCCTTGGGTAGCTTCATTGCTCAATGAACCTGTCCTGTGCTCACCAAATTGATTGTAACGGGTAAGGACTGATTCTTGGCAGTTCAGCCGGTCCTATACTGCGGTTAGCAAATGGAAGATGTGAAACCAATGGTATATGGATGCGTACAACTTCGAGGCGACATCGCATCTCAATCATGATCATGCAAAATGCAAGAGTAGAGTAACCTAGTGCTACGAAATGTCATTTTATTGACCTCTTCATTTATTTATTTATTTACTTTTTTATTTTTTTGTTCGTTTGTATCTTCATCCAATACGTTGTGTAAGATAACATTAGAAAAAGGAATCTAAACGTATCTACAAAAGGTTGCGACCTCCTAGGTTATAGCAGTAAAAAACCGTTTTCCATCCGCTGATTTCCAAATTAATCCAATTCTTCTAGCTCCGATCATCGTTTCACTCATGGGTGTGACAGCTCGAAGCAATTTGACCCGAACACAGCCGTTCCCTCTTCATCCGGACCAGTCCGTAACTTCCTATGTTCTTACAGCGAATGCCCTGGTGCGGAAAGCATCAAAATTGTCTGCCCGTACTGCGAAAGGAACTACTGCCTGAAGTAGGTTCCTTAATGGTGATACTGAGCAGACGCTTGGTCGGGAAATAACTGGAGGTTTTAGACATCGCCACGCTGATGAGCATGCTTGTGAGAATCGTCCCGAGAAGGCTCCCAAACCTCGGATTCTACCGGTTATACCACCTGCAGCCCCAGCAGCGCCTGCCGAGAGACCAGCCGTCAAGGCAAATTCGACCAAAGTAATCTATACTATTGTATCGCAATTTTTAACCCTTAACATGTACTGCGACGATGGAGCATTCCATGCCGATTTATAACTAATTTATTAATGTTGTGTCTCTTACAGCCTGTCAGTGAAGCAGATCGAAAGAAAATGGATAAGATTCTTATAATGAAGCTGAAGATGAATGCGAAAGCGACGGCGGATGTTCCTACCGGGGAACGGATGTTTCTGTTTGTGGAAGGTGATGACCTTAGTGAGCGGAAAGCTGTTGTGGTTAGCAAGGTAACTTTGCTCCTATTCTGTGATTCATATCCAATTTGGCAAAAATAGCTGAACTATCAATTAGTAGCTGCAACTGTTAAATACTTGCTTTTGACTGTCTTGAGCACAGTGCCAACGCAACGGCGACGTTTAAAGGGAACGGTCACGATAACTTGGTGGTAATCAAATGTGAAGTGGAGGTGAAGTGGAGGTGCCGAATGGTGGGGCATAAGACAAACCTTTTAAGAAACCTGAATAGTCCATCGAGAACCTCAAAACTTTGACCTTAACTATGCCCGTATACTTTAGACAAGTGTACCGCCTAGGTGCTGTGACGCTAACAATAAGTTTGTCCTGATAAGGGACGACAGTATGGAACAGTACACTCTGAATGTGGCTGTCAAGGAAAGGGAACTCGCCAGCATTCGGGGATCGATAACGTCGTTAGTTAACCGCTTTTGGGTGTATGATGACGCCTCCTACCTTCACTTCAATAGCTTGGTACAGTCTACAGAGCTAATGACAAGATGTCTGTAATGAGGACCAATAATTGCTTTTCCCTTTCCTCCCATTCTGAATTGATTCCTCTTTGCTTCCAAAAAGCAACCCACTTCATCCTCTGTCGTTACAATCAACAAGAGCTGCAATATTTTGGAGCCAAGTGAATTTCACATGTCTAATACGACTCTCGGTATTC